ACCCGGTTTGGTTGACCATGCACAGGGGGCTTTTGTAAATGGTAGACTTATGATGGATAACATCTTTTTAGCGCAAGAACTGGTTAAGGGGTACACTAGGAAACATTGCTCACCTAGGTGTATGATTAAGGTGGACCTTAGGAAAGCCTATGATACCATCTCTTGGGATTTCCTTAGTAGTGTACTCCTTAACATTGGTTTTCCTTGCAATTTGTTAAATGGATCATGGAGTGTGTTTCAACTGCTTCCTTCTCAATCTCCCTCAATGGGACACTACATGGTTTCTTCCGAGGTAAGAGGGGATTAAGGCAGGGGGATCCTATGTCCCCTCTCCTTTTTGTCCTATGCTTGGAATACCTATCTAGATTAATGAACTTGAAAACCACCTCGGGTTTTAACTACCACCCTAAATGTGGTAGCCTTAAGATTTCACACCTTGCATATGCTGATGATCTCATGTTATTTTGTAGAGGGGATACTTATTCTGTTAAGATTTTGATAGATGCTCTAAATGAGTTTGGTAATGTCTCGGGATTAAGGGTCAATTTTGATAAGTCAAACATTTTTTTGGGGGGAGTTAGGGACCATGATCTCACGGCTATACTTGATTTGGTGGACTTCAAAGTGGGAGCTTTCCCGGTTAAATACCTTGGGATCCCCCTCTCCCCCCTAAAACTGGCTGTGGCCGAATATGCCCCACTCCTGGAGAAGGTTACAAATTATTTGAACGCATGGAATACTAAAACCTTGTCCTATGCAGGTAGAACTGAGCTAATCAAATCTGTTATTCAGGGGGTACATTCCTTTTGGTTACAGGTGTTCCCTATACCACAGGCCATCCTAGACAGAGTGGTTTCACTTTGCCGTATTTTCTTTTGGGGGTGCAAATTTTCCAGGGTTGCTTGGGCTGATATGTGCCTTCCAAAAGAGGAGGGGGGCTTGGGCATTAGACATACCAAAACATGGAATAATGCTCTTCTTTCAAAGACCTTGTGGGACATTCATCTTAAGCGTGATACTTTGTGGGTAAAGTGGGTGCATGGGGTATACCTTAAGGGTAGAAGTGTGTGGGATTTCTCCCCACACACTAGGGACTCCCAACTTATGAAGAAGTTTGGGCAGATCCGAGACCTTTTGGTCTCTAAATTTGACTCTATTGGGAGCACAACTAATGCCCTTTCCAATCTTGTTATTAATGGGAAGTTGTGCTCCTCTAAAATTTATGACCTCATTAGAATCAAGAGCAACACTCACGTTTGGATGCCTTTCATTTGGAAAGCCTATATACCCCCTAAATTTTCATTTATTGCTTGGCTTGCCTTCCGCAATCGCCTAGCAACTTATGATAACCTTAGTAGGCTTGAGGTGATTAACATCTGTCCGTTTTGTAAGGGTGAACCGGAGACGGTAGCACACCTATACTTTGGTTGTCAATTTACAGGACAGGTATGGAGAAAAGTGAGAGCATGGATTGAGATGCCTAGGCAGATGACCACCCTGGATAGCTGGGTGAAGTGGATCAAGAAGGACCATGCGGGTGCTGGAGTCAAAGCCAAAACTGCCCGGATTGCATTTATCTACACCATATACTGGATATGGAGGGTGCGGAATGCAACCAGATTTGATGATGCCAAAGCTCATGAGGAGGAAGTTTTTGCTAGGATCCAATACATGGTGTATAAGATCCTTTTTAGTATCTACCCTCATGAACTTATTATGTTTTGAATTATAATGTGTAGTACGGCTCCTTGCCCCTTTTGTCTGATTTGGGATTGATAGTATAGCCCACAGGTCTTGGCATATCCCTCGTTGGGATAGCCCCATTTTTGCTCCCCCTTTTTTTGTGGATGTACTTGTACATAAACTCTTTGGATAATATATAATTACCCTTTATCCAAAAAAAAAATTGAAATCGGCGCCTGAAGAAGAGTTTTAGAACTCGGTAAGATCTTTCCAACGAGATATTAAACGCTTTCAACAGCACAAAATAGAGCAAGATATGATCGCATCAAACTCTACACGAGTTCGGAGTGAAATCAGAAACATTTGTGAATGTATGGTTAATCTGTAACTTTTAACTAATGCATTGTAAATGATGTTGGAACAATAGCTTTAGAGATCCGATCTATATTTCCAACGAGATATAATACGCTCCACACGGATAAACACACAGCAAGAAATGAGTGTCACAAATACATAGCCTTATCTCTAAGATTTAGCGTTTTCAGCGAAAATTGAGCACATTTAGCGTAAATACAGTGTATTTTAGTAATTACGCAATCATCAATTGATATTTTGAAACCAACGCCTGAAGACATGTTTTAGAACTCGGTAAGATCTTTCCAACGAGATATTAAACGCTTTTAACGGCACAAAATAGAGGAAGATATGATCGCATCAAATTCTACACGAGTTCGGAGTGAAATCAGAAACATTTGTGAATATATCGTTAATCTTTAAATTTTAATTAATGCATTGTAAATGAAGTTGGAACAATAGCTTTAGGTTGTTCTTACTTGGACTGTAATTCGTCCCAGACCAGACCAGACCAGAACAGACCAAACCAGACCAAACCAGACAAAACCAGATCAGACCAGACTAAAACAGACCACACCAGACCGGACCATATTTTATTATTATTATTATTATTATTATTATTATTATTATTATTATTATTATTATTATATATATATATATATGTATATAATATTTACGCAAAAAATACAAAAAATAAAATTTCAGACCAGACCAGACCAGACTAGACAAAAACAAACCACACGAAAACAAACCAGACCAGACCAGACCAACAAATTACGGTCCAAGTAAAAACATCCTTAGAGCTCCGATCTATCTTTCGAACGAGATATAATACGCTCCAAACGTATAAACACCCAGCAAGATATGAGTGTCACAAATACTTAGCCTTATCTCTATTATTTAGCAATTTCAACGAAAATAGAGCACTTTTAGCGTAAATACAGTGTATTTTAGTAATTAGGCAATCATCCCTTGATATTTCGAAACCAGCGCCTGAAGACAAGTTTTAGAACTCGGTAAGATAGATTAGAAGAGTTGAGAGCTGTTCTCTCACTAGAATTCTCTAGTTTCTCTTCTTCTCTTCCGGCACCACCACTCGCGGTGGTCGCCGGCGCCGGAGCTCTCCGGCTCCGGTGGCCTGGCCGACGTTCTTGTTTATGATTTTTGGGACTTCTATTCGAAGGATTCATGGAGATTGGAGTTCTTCTTCTTAGCTGAAAAGCCTCCTTGTCCGGAACTGGAAGAGCTGCCAGAACATGCTGGATTCATTGCCACCACCGAGTGACGGCCGTGGGGACTGAATTGGTGACGGAAAGGTGAAGGTGACGGGTCTGGTGTGCAACGGCAGTTTGGAAGGTCTGGACTGGGTCATGGCTATTAGCCGGAGAAGATGAACTGGTTTCTTTATCCTAAACTCAAAGGGGATTTCAATGGAGTTTTCTGGACGGAATCTATGGAGGTGAAGGTTGGTTTCTTTTGAGCTGGGTTTCAATGGCAGGACTGATGCTAGATGTTGCTGGTGGTTTCCGACGGCGTCGAACTGGTTTGGACCTTGGAGATGGAGTTCTTGAATGTACGGTTCATTGCCGTAGATCTAACCGTGCCGGGGTCATTGCGTGTGGGGGCACGTACAGTGACGAGGTTGGGGAGGTTGATGGACTGGTCTTTTGGGAGCTTCTGACCGGAGGTATTTTCTGGTTGGGTCGCCGGAAGAAGCTCTGGAAATGGAAGGTGTATGGTTTGCCCTGGACTCCGATTTCTGAGAGGCTACCTAAGCTCTGGAGATGACGGATTGTGTTTGATTGCAGGCAATTTATTTACCAGGTTCGGCCACCTTTTCCTCTCCGGGACTAGGAGGCTGCTCGTCTAGTTGGGATTACGTTTTAGGGTCTTCGGACGACCAGAAATACCTTGGATTACTCTGGGTTAGTGTTGAAAGTCCTTGATCTCTGTCTCATATGAACTCACCGGAAAACCAAGTCCTTGACATTAGCGGCGGCTAGTAGCTTTGTGTGTGGTTTTGAGAGGGTGGACTGCTACTTGGTGAACGGGTCATGACCTGGTAGGGATAGTGTAAGATGGTGGATTCATGGCTACGGATTTGATCTTAGGCAAACGGTGACTGCTCCGTCTTGGTTTCCTTCACCACCGTCATGCCTTTGCCGTTGGGGAGATGCCGGGACCCGACGGGGGTATGGAGGGTTGTGAGGGGTGGGTTCGCCGTCATCTGCGTATGGTGGCTTGGATTTTGGTTCGCTGGTTTGGCTCGCCGGGGATACGCCGGAGAAGACGAACGGAGCTGGTCGGTGGCAATGATGACGCGTCGACATCTTCTTGCTGATTGGCCACCCTGTCTTTTCCGCCTGGCGTGGTACTGTTCGATTGTTGACTTTTCTTTGGTTTCCCGCTCAACCAATGCGGCGCTCCAGCATAGCGATGTGCTGGGCTTTGGACTGGGCTGACACTTGGAACCCTAATGCTGAAGAGGCGCTGGGCCTTGCTGGAGACACGGGCATGCTGTGACATGGTCTTTTCTTGCTGAGGACATGGAAGTGCTAGGGATGCTGGGCTGCGATCTTTGGGCCGCTTTGAAATGGAGCTTGTTTATCGGCTGGAGTGCTTTTGCTGGATTTTTGGTGATTTTGGATGCAGGGAAGGGTTTTCATTGGGCCTGGACTGCTGGGAATTTTTTTTTTGTTGACTTTTGATGAATGAGCCGGGGTCTGTCCCGTGCCATTCTTGGACTGCGTTTTTGTGATGCCTTCGGGCTTTTGAAAAAATCTCCTCTCCCCCTACCCCTACCGTGAGGTGGGGTGGGGGAGAGGCAGGTACGGTTGATACTATTTTAGGTTAGCATGTTGACTTAGATAGTTTTCTAATTTTTGTGATGCATTGTACAATGCTATTTTCTGGATATATATACATTTACATTTTATCAAAAAAAAAAAAAAAAAAAAAAAAAAAAAAAAAATAGAACTCGGTAAGATGTGATGCGCCTAGGAAGGAGGAGTTGAGAGCGTCTCTCACTAGGACTCGATCCTAGGTTGCTCCCCTTGCCGGCGTCCGGTGCCACCACCCGCGGTGGTGCGCCGCCGGAGCCCTCCTGGCTCCGGTTGGCTGGTTGCTTGACATTGTTCGTTTGGTCTTTGACCTTATGTTTTTTGGAAAATGGTTTGCGGACTGCTTATGGATTGGAGGTTGGTTCAAGCGTGAACTCTGAAATTGGAAACCGCAACTGCGGAGCTTCGGTTCTTCGCTCACAAGGAAACCGAACTGTGCTGGACTTTTGGTCATCACCGATGGCGGCCGTGGGAGCTTTTGATTTGGTGACGTAAAGGTGTTGGCCGGCTTCTGGTGCGAAACGGATTCCTGGAACGCGAAGTGCTCAACTCCTGGGTTGTGGTTGACGGCAAGTTGCTGGACCGCTTTTGCTTGGGGATTGTTGACTTAACTGCTGCGCAGTGGGAATGGAGCACCGGCAGTGCCTGAACCTTGTTTGAAGGCCGGTGAGAAGGATACTGGTGGGTTGGGGACTGTCCGTTAACCTGGAAGGCTGCGTTATTGGTGTTTCTGGGCTGGAATTCCACGGCCGGAGTTTCAAGGTGGCTGGTAAACCTCCGTTTTGGGCTGATGCTTCTGTACAGGGTCTGGTGGTTCTACTGCCGGTTTATGCTTCAGGTATTGACCATCGTTCTCGCCCTCATCTTTTCCTTTTTCATTTACAATCGGGGTGAAAACTCTCCGGCGAGTGCAGCACCTTCGTCCTCGGACGTGTCGCTGGAATGGTTGGGGATGTTCAAAGTGTCGGAGGACAGTGGATGGGGACACTCGTCAATGACATTTTTACTCCCAAAATGTTTAAGGAACCTGTTCGTCTTCCTCGCTGCATCTGTAAGCTTGCGGGTCTTTTCATCTTCCATGGGTAATGGCGTTTTCCGTGGCAGCACCGATTGAGGGTCCGGGTGCAGGTCTTTTTTCGCGGCCATTACCTATCGCTACTTCGTTACGGATCCCGGGCTGGGCCAAGGTTGGGGGTCTGGAGTTTGTAGTCACCGGTGGGATTTACCTGAAAACGGGGACTGTCCTCCGTTCGTTGACCTGTGCGGAAGAAGATGACCAGAACTAAGGCGAGCTTGGCTACCTCTGTTACAATGCGCCTGAGGTTTTCCGGCCTTGAGGGTCTACCTTTCACTTGTTTTGTGGTGCTCTTTGCCCGAGAAGATGATCGGAAACCTTTGGGATCTGGGTTTTGGATTAGGGCTGTGGTTCGTTTTCCGGGTACTGTTAATGCGCCGTTATTCCACCATCTTATCTTTGCCGCCGGGGGTCACCGGGGCTCGACGGGGATGGGGGTGGAAAATGGGTTTACGAGTTAGCAGAGGTTTCTTTCCGGCTGGTTGCTTTGCTTCTTCCACCAATGTCGCCGGGTTGGACGCCGGAGCCCGGTGGGGGTGGAGGGGGGATACGAGGTGGATTGGTTACATTCCGGTTTGTTCACGATGGTTCTCACTGCTGCTTCGCCGTCGACGCCGGGGTGATGCCGGAACCCGACAGAGGTGAGGTGGTGGTGGGGGATATGGTTACTTCTCCGGCTGGTTCTCTTCGCCCTCCGTTCGCCGGCCATCGGAGAGCCTGGGGTCGCCGGGACCAGGTGGGCTGGTTGGTAGGGGGTGGGTTACGGTTGACAGACAAATGATGGACAGGTGGACAGTGTACTTTTGTACAGGCTGTCACCACGCCTGTGACTTTTCAAAATTTGAATTGATGCTGGGATTTCGCGCCTACCACTGCGGCGCTGCGATGAGGATGCCTGATAGGAGATTGGGCTATGTTTGCTGCGGAACCCTAGTGGGCCTTGGAGGATTGGGCTTCGCTCGAGCTGACATTGGATGCTGGGACGCTGCTGCTAATTTGACGCAAATTGGGCCGTGGACCTTCACTGGTCTTGCTGGAATGCTTTCTTTTAGCATGCCTGTTCAGCAGTGGGCCTTTGGGCTCACCTGCTGGGCTTTGATCTTGAGCTGCTGTTACTTTGTTGCTGAGTAGTGGACGGGCCTTTGCTGGCCCAGAAGCTAGGAAGCTTGGATGATGGTGATCTTTCTGCTGGATCTTCCCAATGATGGGCCTTCATTGGCTTGGACTTGGGTTTTGATTTATTTTTGATGAATGAGTCGGGGACTGTCCCGTACCATTCTTGGATTGTATTTTTGTGATGTCTTTTGGACTTCGGAAAAACTCCTCTCTCCTCCCCCTGCCGCAAGGTGGGGGGGGGGGGGGGGGGGGCGGAGACGGTAGATTCTATTTTAGGTTAGCCTGCTAGCTTAGATAGATGTTTTTGATACATGTATTGTTATTTATCTGGATATATATATTTACATTTTATCCAACGAGATATTAAACGCTTTCAACGGCACAAAATAGAGCAAGATATGATCGCATCAAATTCTACACGAGTTCGGAGTGAAATCAGAAACCTTTGTGAATATATGGTTAATCTCTAACTTTTAATTAATCCATTGTAAATGAAGTTGGAAAATAGCTTTAGAGCTCCGATCTATCTTTCCAACGAGATATAATACGCTCCAAACGGATAAACACACAGCAAGATATGAGTGTCACAAATACTTAGACTTATCTCTATGATTTAGCGTTTTCAGCGAAAATAGAGTACTTTTAGCGTAAATACAGTGTATTTTAGTAATTAGGCAATCATCCCTTGATACTTTGAAACCCGCGCCTGAAGACAAGTTTTAGAAATCGGTAAGATCTTTCAAACGAGATATTAAACGCTTTCAACGGCACAACATAGAGCATGATATGATCGCATCACATTCTACACGAGTTCGGAGTGAAATCAGAAACATTTGAGAATATATGGTTAATCTGTAACTTTTAATTAATGCATTGTAAATGAAGTTGGAACAATAAATTTATAGCTCCGATCTATCCTTCCAACAAGATATAATACGCTCCAAACGGATAAACACACAGCAAGATATGAGTGTCACAAATACTTAGCCTTATCTCTATGATTTAGCGTTTTCAGCAAAAATAGAGCACTTTTAGCGTAAATACAGTGTATTTTAGTAATTAGGCAATCATCCCTTGATATTTCGAAACCAGCGCCTGAAGACACGTTTTAGAAATCGGTAAGATCTTTCAAACGAGATATTAAACGCTTTCAACGGCACAAAATAGAGCAAGATATGATCGCATCAAATTCTACACGAGTTCGGAGTGAAATCAGAAACCTTTGTAAATATGTAACTTTTAATTAATGCATTCTAAATGAAGTTGGAACAATAAATTTAGAGATCCGATCTATCCTTCCAACAAGATATAATACGCTCCAAACGGATAAACACACAGCAAGATATGAGTGTCACAAATACTTAGCCTTATCTCTATGATTTAGCGTTTTCAGCGAAAATAGAGCACTTTTAGCGTAAATACAGTGTATTTTAGTAATTAGGCAATCATCCCTTGATATTTTGAAACCAGCGCCTGAAGACAAGTTTTAGAAATCGGTAAGATCTTTCAAACGAGATATTAAACGCTTTCAACGGCACAAAATAGAGCAAGATATGATCGCATCAAATTCTACACAAGTTCGGAGTGAAATAATAAACATTTGGGAATATATGGTTAATATGTAACTTTTAATTAATGCATTGTAAATGAAGTTGGACCAATAAATTTAGAGATCCGATCTATCCTTCCAACAAGATATAATACGCTCCAAACGGATAAACACACAGCAAGATATGAGTGTCACAAATACTTAGCCTTATCTATATGATTTAGCGTTTTCAGCGAAAATAGAGCACTTTTAGCGTAAATTCAGTGTATTTTAGTAATTAGGCAATCATCCCTTGATATTTTGAAACCAGCGCCTGAAGACAAGTTTTAGAACTCGGTAAGATCTTTCAAACGAGATATTAAACGCTTTCAACGGCACAAAATAGAGCAAGATATGATTGCATCAAATTCTACACGAGTTCGGAGTGAAATCAGAAACATTTGTACATATATGGTTAATCTGTAACTTTTAATTAATGCATTGAAAATGAATTGGCAACAATAGCTTTCGAGCTCCGATCTATCTTTCCAACTAGATATAATACGCTCCAAACGGATAAACACACAGCAAGATATGAGTGTCACAAGTACCTAGCCTTATCTCTATGATTTAGCGTTTTCAGCGAAAATAGAGCACTTTTAGCGTAAATACAGTGTATTTTAGTAATTAGTCAATCATCCCTTGATATTTTGAAACCAGCGCCTGAAGACAAGTTTTAGAACTCGGTAAGATCTTTCCAAAGAGATATTAAACGCTTTCAACGGCACAAATTAGAGCAAGATATGATGGCATCAAATTCTACACGAGTTCGGAGTGAAATCAGAAACATTTGTGAATATATGGTTAATCTGTAACTTTTAATTAATGCATTTTGAATGAAGTTGGAACAATAGCTTTAGAGCTCCGATCTATCTTTCCAACGAGATATAATAAGCTCCAAACGGATCAACACACAGCAAGATATGAGTGTCACAAATACTTAGCCTTATCTCTATGATTTAGCGTTTTCAACGAAAATAGAGCACTTTTAGCGTAAATACAGTGAATTTTAGTAATTAGTCAATCATCCCTTGATATTTTGAAACCAGCGCATGAAGACAAGTTTTACAACTCGGTATGATCTTTCCAACGAGATATTTAACACTTTTAACAGCACAAAATAGAGGAAGATATGATCGCATCAAATTCTACACGAGTTCAGAGTGCAATCAGAAACATTTGTGAATGTATGGTTAATCTGTAACTTTTAACTAATGCATTGTAAATAATGTTGGAACAATAGCTTTAGAGATCCGATGTATATTTCCAACGAGATATAATACGCTCCAAACGGATAAACACACAGCAAGATATGTGTGTCACAATAGTTTTAGAGCTCCGATATATCTTTCCAACGAGATATAATACGCTCGAAATGGATAAACACACTGCAAGATATGAGTGTCACAAATACTTAGCCTTATCTCTAAGATTTAGCGTTTTCAGCGAAAATAGAGCACATTTAGCGTAAATACAGTGTATTTTAGTAATTACGCAATCATCAATTGATATTTTGAAACCAACGCCTGAAGACATGTTTTAGAACTCGGTAAGATCTTTCCAACGAGATATTAAACGCTTTTAACGGCACAAAATAGAGGAAGATATGATCGCATCAAATTCTACACGAGTTCGGAGTGAAATCAGAAACATTTGTGAATATATCGTTAATCTTTAAATTTTAATTAATGCATTGTAAATGAAGTTGGAACAATAGCTTTAGGTTGTTTTTACTTGGAGTGTAATTCGTCCCAGACCAGACCAGACCAGAACAGACCAAACCAGACCAAACCAGACCAAACCAGATCAGACCAGACTAAAACAGACCACACCAGACCAGACCATATTTTATTATTATTATTATTATTATTATTATTATTATTATTATTATAATTATTATTATTATTATTATTATTATTATGATTATGATTATGATTATGATTATTATGATTATGATTATGATTATTATTATTATTATTATTATTATTATTATGATTATTATTATGATTATTATTAGTGTTATTATTATTATTATTATTATTATTATTATTATTAGTATTAATATTATTATTATTATTATTATTATTATTATTATTATTATTTTATTATTATTATTATTATTATTATTATTATTATTATTATTATGATTATTATTATTATTATGATTATTATTATGATTATTATTATTATTACTATTATTATTATTATTATTATATATGTATATATATATATAATATTTACGCAAAAAATACAAAAAATAAAATTTCAGACCAGACCAGACCAGACTAGACCAAAACAAACCACACCAAAACAAACCAGACCAGACCAACAAATTACGGTCCAAGTAAAAACATCCTTAGAGCTCCGATCTATCTTTCCAACGAGATATAATACGCTCCAAACGGATAAACACCCAGCAAGATATGAGTGTCACAAATACCTAGCCTTATCTCTATTATTTAGCAATTTCAACGAAAATAGAGCACTTTTAGCGTAGATACAGTGTATTTTAGTAATTAGTCAATCATCCCTTGATATTTTGAAACCAGTGCATGAAGACAAGTTTTAGAACTCGGTAAGATATTTCCAAAGAGATATTAAACGCTTTCAACGGCACAAATTAGAGCAAGATATGATCGCATCAAATTCTACATGAGTTCGGAGTGAAATCAGAAACATTTGTGAATATATGGTTAATCTGTAACTTTTAATTAATGCATTTTGAATGAAGTTGGAACAATAGCTTTAGAGCTCCGATCTATCTTTCCAACGAGATATAATAAGCTCCAAACGGATAAACACACAGCAAGATATGAGTGTCACAAATACTTAGCCTTATCTCTATGATTTAGCGTTTTCAACGAAAATAGAGCACTTTTAGCGTAAATACAGTGTATTTTAGTAATTAGGCAATCATCCCTTGATATTTTGAAATCGGCACCTGAAGAAGAGTTTTAGAACTCGGTATGATCTTTCCAACGAGATATTTAACACTTTTAACAGCACAAAATAGAGCAAGATATGATCGCATCAAATTCTACACGAGTTCAGAGTGCAATCAGAAACATTTGTGAATGTATGGTTAATCTGTAACTTTTAACTAATGCATTGTAAATGATGTTGGAACAATAGCTTTAGAGATCCGATCTATATTTCCAACGAGATATAATACGCTCCAAACGGATAAACACACAGCAAGATATGAGTGTCACAAATACATAGCCTTATCTCTAAGATTTAGCGTTTTCAGCGAAAATAGAGCACATTTAGCGTAAATACAGTGTATTTTAGTAATTACGCAATCATCAATTGATATTTTGAAACCAACGCCTGAATACATGTTTTAGAACTCGGTAAGATCTTTCCAACGAGATATTAAACGCTTTTAACGGCACAAAATAGAGGAAGATATGATCGCATCAAATTCTACACGAGTTCGGAGTGAAATCAGAAACATTTGTGAATATATCGTTAATCTTTAAATTTTAATTAATGCATTGTAAATGAAGTTGGAACAATAGCTTTAGGTTGTTTTTACTTGGACTATAATTCGTCCCAGACCAGACCAGACCAGAACAGACCAAACCAGACCAAACCAGACAAAACCAGATCAGACCAGACTAAAACAGACCACACCAGACCAGACCATATTTTATTATTATTATTATTATAATTATTATTATTATTATTATTATTATTATTATTATTATTACTATTATTATTATTATTATGATTATTATTATTATTATTATTATTATTATTATGATTATTATTATTATTATAATTATTA